GCCAGTGTTTGCCACCAGCCCTTGTGGGAGGGAGGACACAGGAGCTGCAGTGAACAGAGAGCTCTGAAGACCATTTCAGACATAAAATCTCTGAAAAACCATTTTTCTCATTAAATCTGGGACATGTTTAGGGTTGGTCTGAGCTCTCTGAAATCCTTATTCCTTCCCCAAAAGCTGCCTAGATCCTCCTGGCTTACAGGTTCACTCCCTGCTTACAGGAGTCATTAATTTTTGTCCTCCATGGAGAAGAAGTCCCACCTTTATTTTATCTCTCATCTTACTGGAAACACTCACTCAACCCCAGCCATATCTAATCTCACCCCAGAAGATCCCAGAGCCCCATGGTGAAGCAATAGAAGAACAGTGTTGGCCACCAAGCAAGGGACATATCCCAGCACTGGGGAGGATTTAAGCTCAGGAGAAACATCCCATCTGCGTTTGCACCCATCTGAATTGCAACAAGAGCTGAGGAACAACGATGACCCCCATGGTGGTGGCAGATATGGACCCACTGGAAACAACTGGGGTCTCCAGTGTCACGGCATGGGTTGTGCCAACACATCTTGATGCTCACATGTATGAGGGGCTCCAAATCGAAGCAGTTTATAACTTCATCCCTCCAAAAATGGAGTGGTGGGACTGGTCCTTTGGAGCAAAGCACCATCTCGATGGGTTTTGCTGGTGCTGTCTCCAGTTGCCATTGCAGGGATGGAGATTTTGGCAACTCTGACAGGACTTGGTACTTCATGAAGTTTAATGAGGCCAAGTGCAGGGTCCTGCTCCTGGGTCAGGGCAATCCTGAGTATCAAGACAGAGTGAAGGATGGATGGATGGAGAGCAGCCCTGTGGAGAAGGACTTGGGGATACTGGTGGACAAAAAATGGGACAAGACCTGGTAACGTGCACTCGCAACCCAAAAAGCCAGTTATCTCCTGGGCTGCATCCAGAGCAGCGTGGGCAGCAGGTCAAGGGAGGGGGTTCTGCCCCTCTGCTCCGCTCTGGTGAGACTCACCTGGAGCACTGCGTCCAGTTCTGGGGTCCTCAGCACAGGACAGACATGGACCTGTTGGAGTGGGACCAGCGGAGGCCACACAAATGATCTGAGGGATGGAACATCTCTGCTGTGGAGAAAGGATGAGAGAGTTGGGGCTGTTCAGCCTGGAGAAGAGAAGGCTCCAGGGAGACCTTTAAATATATAAAGGAGGTTCATACAAGAGATAAAGAGACATTTTACCAGGGTCTGAAGAGGTTTAGATAGGACACAAGGAAGACATTTGTTACCATGAGGGTGGTGAGACAGTGTCCCAGGTTGCCCAGAGAAGCTGTGGCTGCTCCTCCTTGGAAGTGTTGAAGGCCAGGTTGGACGAGGCTTTGAGCAACCTGGTCTAGTGGAAGGTGTCCCTGCTGCTGGCAGGGGGGTTGGAACTGGATGATCTTCAGAAATCTCTCCCACCCCAAACCATTCTGGGATTCTCTGATTTCAGTGAGGCTGGACATCTGGGGAGCTGCTCTGTACCACCTGGAGGTGGCTCAGTGAGAATTGGGGCATTTAGGCTTTTACCCCCATGAGGGCTGGTCCCACATGAAGGGTTTTGGTTGATTGGAGAGCAGGGTGACATCTCCATCTTTGCACTGGTTGACTGCAAAACTCCCCTTTCCCAAGGAATTTGAGGACATATGGGGTGAAAATGAGATCCTGAAGGGTTTTATTTTCTTTATCCATGATTTAACTTCTGGTTTTCTCCTTCTCTGGAGCAGAAGAAGCTTTTGTTTCAGGAAAGAAGCTGCAGAGATATTGGCTTCTTGTGTTGATGTTTTCCATTTCCAAGCAAATCCCATTTTGGAACCCCCTGAACGTGAATTTGGGAACTGAACATCCCGACCGCAGCGAGCAACAGTGGACTGAGGATCAGAATAGAAGATTGTTTTTCCACAGGGGATTGAACAGCCTGGGTTTGGCTTCTGATGTCCATCCAAATCACGCAGGCGGAGAAGGAATGCTCTGGTTTCAGTCTGCAATGGAGTCACGGGTTTAATTTTAGCTTCTCCAGAGTAAATTTGTAAGCAAGTCGTTAGCAAAGCAAAGCTCCCTATGAAGGATGGAAAGAGCAGAAGAACTGGAGCCTCCTTTCTCACCCACAACGTGGTACTCCTCAGCCCTCCAAAATGGTGATGATGAGCACCCAAAATCCATGTGTCCCTCTTAAAAACCCTGATGTGATTCATTTGTGCAGGTCAGAAGATGTGTTGGGACATCGTGGAGTGATGCCAACACTGGGATGGCAAAGCTGTGCTCAAAGAGGAGCCATGAATGCACCAAAGGATCTTCGTTTTGCAAGAGCAAAGGAGGACCCAAGGCCAAGTGCAAGGTCCTGCACCTGGGATGGGACAATCCTGGTTATCGGTACAGGCTAGGAGATGATGTGCTGGAAAGCAGCCCTGAGGAAAAGGACTCAGGGGAAGTAGTGGATGATAAGCTAGAGATGAGCCACCAATGTGCATCTGCAGCCCAGAAGGCCAACCGCATCCTGGGCTGCATGAAAAGAAGTGTGGCCAGCAGATGGAGAGAGGTGATTCTGCCCCTCTGCTCTGCTCTGGAGAGACCTCACCTGGA